TTCCCCAAGTCATGGAGACCTAATTTGTCTTTGGCCTTTAAGAAGTTCGTTGGAATAAGGTCGATATAGGTGCAACACAATTTAGGATGATAGTGCGAAATAATCTGAGGATGTAAGAATTTCGCTAGGGCATATCGTGTTATATTGTTCCTATTTCCTAAGCCATAATCGTTGGGCATCAGATATGCCACATTTTGAGCGACGTTGTGTTGATCAGATAAAGTGAATTGATGGCCTACCGGAGTGTATAACTCATTTCCTGTCATTCTTACGTTATTTTCCGTTGCGGATTTTTTGTGACAGTAGTTTCATTGAGAAAACAGAATTTGGAGCAGTGGAATGGTCTGTAGTCATTTGATGGCATTATAATGTAGAAAAACATGCTTTTGGGACTACCGCTGAATCAACTAGAATATAGTCATTTACATTTTAATATTACTAGACATAACCTAACTGATAATGCTTGAATGCTTTAAGTAGTATTTTCTTTCAGCAGTGAGTCTCTTACTTGAGTGAGATATTGCTTATTGAGGTGCCTGGGTGGATAAGGTGTTCCCATCTTCCTTGTCTGAGAATCATCTGCGAGATTTACCTATCTGTGTCCATGTGTAGGCTTGATGTTTTGGAACAGCACAGAAGAGCCGAAGTGTCATCTCTTTCATGCCTCAAAATCCGTCACCTTATTTGCCTTCCCTCAATTTGTTTCAAGCCATTTATTGAATCCTTCTGAGTTTATGGTGACGGTTTCTCTTCTGTCACTGGCCAAAGAGTCAATCTCATCTTCAGTCTCTCTCTCTCACGTGATGCGTAGCTCATTTTCAAAAGCAAAGTCGTCTGCCAGAATGGAAATTTGGCGATCATTAATTAATTTCCACTTTGCAGTTGACTACTGAATACAAAGTCATTTATGTTTGTGTTGTCCCAATGATTCCACAACGGAATCCGTATTTCCAAAGTGTCTACTCTTCCATTTGGATCATTATTTCCTCAAAAGACGATAATCTCGTGTCAAAGCTTGTGGTTGAAATAACGATGGTCCGTTCCAAAATGGAGGGAACCAAAGTGGAATGCCATGGATTATTAGATATTTTGCGTTTTTCATAGTTATTTTTTCTACGCAACTTTCTGCCAAAGATGATGTGTTTATGTTTTGCGCATGTCTGTGTGTCCTTACGTGACACACGTACACAAGTTCATTCAGTATTCAAAAGGGATGGGAGGTAGGGAAGGCGAGAGGTAACAGCAAACCACGAGTGTCTGGCTTTGCACAGCATTACCACGATTAAATATTAACGTGTTTCTTGGCCTCTCACAGTTGGGATGTGTGTAATCTACTTTTTTTTTCAATGACGTTTTTTTTTTCGGAAATCTTCGCAGAATGAATTTGGTCAAAATCGCATCGGGAGTGGCTACTTCAATTTTATGTCACTCAAGCTAACCTTATCGGGTTGAATTTTAATTCAACTATTGGGTTATAAAGCTGAGAATTACTTGTTTTCACAAAACTTGAATGGTGGCGTCTCTAGCACATTGCATTAGGAAGTGTTCCCGTTTTGGGGTCACTTGAGAGGGTCCTATTTCATTAATATTGGGCTGCCCTTTTAAGCTACCTCCTATTTTGAGTAGCCTTATGAGCCTATTGATAAACGGGGATCAGGCGTTGTCTTCATTAATGATTTTTGTCATAGAATGAATAAATCTGACATGGTTAGTTTGAGACGCCAACGAAATAATTGTTTCATTGGTGCAGGTGCAGAATATCTTTTTAATTTGCTCCTTTTTTCAATGGTAATCTGCGAATCTGCAGTTAAATGGAGAATAGGTGATACCTCCGGATGTGAGTCACACCGTGGGACTAGAAACATTAACCATGGGTTTGGTCGGCGTGATTGTGCGCATTGGACAGGAATATATTACAATTAATGCTATTATTTGAAAATTCTTGTTCCAGATTATTGGCATGGTGGACCGTCTTTCCATCCGCATTAATCTGCTTAAAACGCATTACTAGAGCAGGGATGTATGAAAAACCCGATTTGATGCATTTTCAAAAAGTGATTCTCACTGCGAGTTTTGTGTTTCACCTCCTCCAGTTTATTCTGTTGCCTTTCAGCACAAACAAGGTGTCAAAATTGTCATCAATGATAGCTTAGGCGCATTTCATTTGATTAATCATTGTTTTGATTCTGTTTGTTCAAAATAACCACTGAATAAGTAGACCTTATAATCGGAACGGGAAGTTCCAAACGTATTTACCCAATTGTTTTTTCGATGTCCCCACTTTTCCTTTCAACGATTAAGGTCTTGATCCAGTATGTTAGTGTTTTTTTTTCCAACCCGCTAACTCCGATGACAGCGCACCCAGTAGATTTATTATTTAAATCGCCCGACTCATGAGACAGGAGAGAAAAAAACCCATCCCACCACTTTTTTTTTCACGATTGCCATAGGTTAAACGCTTCTTTTTCCCTCTTTTTGTTAAAATAATCCCAACCCACTTAACTTTCTGTCCTGCCTATTGATAAAACAAATTGAGTGATGCTGCTGTGAGTAGTCACTGCTACTTAAGGGAGTAAATTTACTGACTGGTGAAGAATTAATTAACTCTCTTTCAATTGTCTACGAAATTTGTGTATAGGCCTCACATCTTCATGTTGTTTGATGCAGTTGACTGTTATTTTGGTTTCTACGTTTCCTATTTTCAAGGCATCAACATTTCTGTGCTGTTGCTTCCTCAAAAAAGACCAAGAGAATTTGATTCCGTCAATGAATGTTAGGTCACTTTTTAGGTTCCTACAATTTATATCCCCTTCATGGGCGGATATCTGGGGATTGTTTGAGGACTGGATAAAAATAGCCGATTCATAAATCACGGGGGACGTGGAGTAGATTAAAGGCACCTTTTACGTTTCACTGGACGTGGTAGAAGTTTTCGGCTTTTCATAGGCATCGTAAACTACCTTGCTACTTTTTATTTACTATCAAAAGTGTAAAATGCATGCATCTTCAAAAGAGGCACGATTCAGCTACACAACCGATTTTAACGTGATCGAATCGTTTATCTGCTTACAATCTGCCTTGTATAAATTGGTGCTTTTATTTCTTTCTACCCGCCTTCACTTTTAACTGTTGTACCGTTCTTATTTTTTCGGAATTAGTTAAAGAAACAAGCGATTTAATTGCTGGGTGGTTGACCGCACTTTAAATTATTTTTTGGAAGAATCGTAGTGCTGTAGTTTCTCTTCCAATCCTGGCTGTGAACCACTGACATATTTGAATTTTCAGTGATGCAGGAGCATATTTCTTAACAAATTTTAATAACTTAAATGGTACCTAAATCCGCCTTAGCAACTTGTTAGCTTTTGTTCTTTGCAAACAAAGTTTGCCAAAGAATGTTCAGCCCACTTATTCATAGACTGCTATCGTGGCGCCCAGCTCCTCCCTGAGTATGTTATGAGGCGGATGCGTTTATTATAAGTATACAGAAGGGCGGGTGGTCTGCTAACAGAGATGATACAACCGGATTATTACGTGGTGACTGAAACCTGTGGAGATTGGAATTACAATTAGAATAAGTGCCGTTCTGTTAAAGCCTTACCACTTCTGTCCACTACCTAATATGCAAAGGGGGTTACATTAAAGTCGTCATTCGAAAAAGTGATTGGTATTGTTAATCCCCCCAGACCTGTGTTTAGTTTGATGCTCCGAATTGAAATGATTTCTGCCACTTTTACTGTCCTCCCTTAAGTAAAAGTGTTTAAGGTGCTTATTATTCGCAAATTTCTCCAACTCTTCTTCTTCCCTCATCGTACACCTTTCTTACGCCCCATCTACATGCTCTGCCTTTTTCCTCCTCCTACTCTTGGCATGTTTTTTTCCGGGGCAGATATTCTCACCTAGATAAAACAATGCTCTCCTCCTCACACCTGCTAGTTATTCCCTTCTCTTTCGACTTCTGTACTAGTGTCCTTCTTCGCCTTCCGCAACTTTTCCTTTCAGTTGTTGGCTACTGCGTCGCTTCGTTAGGTGGATGGTTGCGTTACCTCAACTCAGGCCTGACTGTCAGCTTGAGTGTCTACACTGTGTATCAGTTGTCACTTTTTCCCCCGTTCTTTATGAGCAGAGATTTATCTTTTTATTGAAAAAGTGAGAGTCTTATTTTCGTCAATAAACCAGCGACAATGATAGCGGTGGGATAACATCACTGCAAGAGGAAACAGGACGGTACTTAAACCAGTTGTGCGTGGGCTTTCAACTTAATGCTCTCATTTCTGTGACCAAGTCTCCTTTGAGACGGGCATTACTATTCTGCCGCGTATCTCTTTCATCGCATCTCTCCTACTTTCGCCTATTCCATGTCGCGCGTATATATGCACAGTGTAGCTATCTCACTGGGAATTCAATTACTCTCTCCTCTATCCTGCTTATATGATTAGGTGGCAAGGAAAATGTCGTATACCCTCACGCAATTGTGATTATTTTGTGCTGATAGTGAGTACTGTGACTCCCTTGGGGGAGGTGTTTCTCTCCGTTTATCAGCTAGGCGTTTACAATAATCAGGTCTACCATTGAGATCAAAAGTTTAGTATTGCGTGCGACGTTTGTTGAGATAGCGGAGAAAATTTGTGGCGCTGCTTCTGTTTTCAAAAATGCCGATATCATGATTCCAAAGTATTTTTATTTTGATACTCTTGATAGCAGAAAACAGCAACATTCTGTGTGCCGTTTACACTCAACTTCTTTCACCTAGTTATTAAGTTTTGTAATTCAGACGGCGAACATTGGGTATTAGAAATGGTTCATTTAAACGTACTTTTCAAGTTATACTCGTCTGACATGCCACCGTGTGAATTAATTGACTTGAATTGTCTTGATCCACAGGGGAGGCGTCTTAGAAAAGATTTTAACACATTTCTCGGGTCAGACCTAACATCAATTGGTAGGGAAGATACTTTTTTTAAAGAAATTGAAGTTTATCTAAAATGCTGAGATCTGTTGTTTAATCACACAAGAGATCATACCTTGATTGTACTTTTTCTTGTGTTTGACTGATATGTGGATTGTAGTTGTCTCCAAAGGTGTTCGCTTCCTGTGGTGCCTTATAACCATGGCCTATTGAAACCTGTTTTCTAGGCATTATGCGATTATTCGATTTTCCTTCCGGATACATTTATAAGAGCTCACATTTCTGATGTAGTTTTCTTTAAATGCACTAATGGGGACACCCCCTCCTCATGCCTCTTGTGCTTACTTGATCTTCAGTGGACATGGACAGCTCAAACCAGACACTTAACCTAGTGTAATGAGTAAACTAACGTCCAGAAATGGTTTTTTTCCGTAACAGGTCCACAAGAGTCGACTTTCCTAGAGAGCTGCGGGGTCGCTGACCTAATTACCACCTGTTATGGCGGTCGTAATCGCAAGATTGGTTTTGCACTTGCCACCACTGACAAGTCGGTGGTCGACCTTGAGGCAGAGCTTCTTGGCGGCCAATCGGCGCAGGGTGTGCTAACTGCCGCAGAGGTCTTTGCGATGCTGCACGATCGTGGTCTGGAGGCCGAATTTCCCATCTTCACGATGGTGCACCGTATCTGTCAACGGCAGGAGAAGGCGAACGTCTTCATTGAATGCCTTAGGCGTCATCCGGCCCACATGTGCTTCTATCGCTCTTTAGGAAACAATTGGTAGATTGACCATCACCACCGCCCGTGCCTCTTTTGAGATCCCCATCTGTTCCTCCATCTGCCTTCCCTCCACACGTCCTCACTTTGTTTCACTTGGCTTCATAGTTTTGTCTAGAGAAGAAAAATGGAATGGCGTTTAATTGTATGCGTCGAATTCACAGACGAGTTCCAAACTCGTTTCAACTTTTTGGGGTCAGTAGTTTTCTTCTGCTTTGCTTAACCATGTTAGTTTGAAATTTTGATAATATTCGTGTAGAAGAGTTGGTTGAATTGTAGTTTAGATTGCATGCCACTAGCATATGGCTCGTCCCGTCTTTCTTTGCTGGAGTTTTGCTTAACTGAGCCATCTTTTACTGAACACATTTGCCAATGTTTAGTGGTGGTTTATAACCAATTTGACGAAAAGTTTTTGCCGCGCTTGAATCAAGTTCTATTCAATCAGGCAGATTTGAACCACATCACTTTCAACCGGCGTTTGATGAGGTTTCAAGACAGGAGGGGGATGCTTCAGGCCGACACACTCGTACTTTGTAGTGGGTACGAGCAGCTGCGTGTGCTTTGAAAGTTTATACAAATTGTAGCGGGTTGTGCTAGAAACCGCGTGGGTTTTTTTTTACTCCATGACATTTTGCTAAACTGCTACAGATTTACTGAGAAGTGGATTTTGAGGAATACGGAGGCATAGGGTCTGTGGTGTTTCGTGACAGCCGGCACTCGGCTTGAGCTTTTGCCCTAATTGCGTCCGCTCGCCCATGCTTTTGCAGCCGTGCGTTCTGTGATGAGGTAGACGTTCACTTCATGCCTGCGTTGTGTGTGATAAAGGCACGAGAACAAATGGTATTTCTTGATCATGTCACGTGACCGCTCTCATTCGGCAAGCCGACTACACTTGGAATTTTGAATATCAGATGAGAGGTGAAAATAAACGCATGGTTCGTTCGTCAAAGAAAAACAGCATCTTGTAATCTACTTCTTCTGGGAGGAGAATGTGCTCGGAGGTCAAATTTGTCCACGAATTAGTAAGACGCATTGAATTTTCTTTTATTAAATAACCCATGAGTAGGTTTTAGTGCTTGACAATGGGTTAAATGGAAATTAATGCTGAGATTATTGGAAATTTGCGAAAATTATCCTCGAAGCCATAGAAAAATGGAGCCTGCAAGTTACTTTAAAGGATGAAGGAACCTACCGACAGGCAAATCTCATGAAACTCTGAGTTCACAGGTAGGATTCTGCGCCATCCGAGTCGGACAAATGAGAAGGTACATGACCAAAATTTTTAATGGCATTGGAGAATTGGTATAGCACAGCAGAAAACTGCATAATTTATTTAAGGGTGGAATTGGTTAAGCGGAACGAGAATCACTCTCGCATATTCTTGATCAATTCTAAGCACCTGCTTAAATGGGTGAGCTAGGTTGAGCACGAACCATTTTAGTGCTCTTAATGAGCTCCAGTAACATTATAGCTGCTGTAATGGTCGTGACTAAACTAGTTAGGAGAAAATTTTAAAGTAACCGGCACTCGAAAAAAAGTGATTTTATTGCTCCGACCAAAACACCAGTCACTGACTGAGTAGACACGCGCCCCAGGTGAAAAAAAATGTATCGCGAGTTTCAGCTAGTTTTGATACATTAGCTTTGAACCAAGAAAACAAACTGGTAGTCTAGTTTTGGCTTGAGAATGCATCGAAAGAATGTTTACTCATCTGTGAAACGTCCACTGCAGCGATTGCAACAATAGCGAAAGACTTCGAAATCGCCTCTGCGTACAACCTCATGCGTGTCAAAAAATGACTGGTGATTAGCTCAAACGTCAGTGAGAAAAACTGAAAAAACAAAATACTTTTCTGTTAAAAAAGTAGCTAAAAGTGTCTACTAGGTAGATCGTCTTAAGAAGCTTAAAATTTTTACGGTTAAAATACATCTTTGCGTGCACTGCTTCGGAAGCAACCTCCTTAATTATAAGGTCCAGAATACAATCTGCAGACAAGAACTGCTGTATTATTATCATTAAAACATGGTCTATAATTTATTCGTGGGCAAAGCTATATTTCTTGAACAGAAAAATACTGCTCACTGCCAGTAAAAAGAATTTTGTAGGCAGATCTTGTGCTGATTAGACTGTTGAAGTATAAATTTAAATAATTCTGGCTGTTAGATTTTTTTAAGAACTTGCACTTTGAGTTGTAGTATATGCTCGCGTGGATATTGCGAGTCAGTCAAAGTCGTTTTTAAAGTTGCCACGTCACAGCGGGCAACTGTGTATTCATTCAAACAAGTAATAGCAAAACCTTCCTTGCAGAACGCAACAGTTCTACAACTTATAAATTCCTTGTCAGAACAGCTAATGTTTCCAATTTCACTTCACCGATTCAGTAATGCACCGATTCGATAAGTTAATTTTTTACATGGGAAGTAGTTACCGTCTCATTTATCTCCCTGACAGGTACATGAATTAATTTTCTCCTAACTGGCAGATCATTTTAAAAATTCATGTGACTTTTTACCGTAGAATCTAAAAAAGTTCGAAAGTGTTGTAAAAGGTTTCATTTGTGTTAGTATTCACCATTACAGTCTGCAATTTAGTTGTTACTCACTGAGATTCATGCTCGTTGCGAATTGCGATGTCGTAAATTGCTTGCCTCTCAAAACAGTAGACCTGACTTTAGCCACCTCTATTTTCAGTAACTCTCGTGCCTTCTTCTCCATTTCCCTATCCCCATCCCGCCTATTCAAATTGAAGTGTTGCCATAAGGGATAACTAGGGGTAAATATGGCACGCCCATAAGGGTAAGGAATTGCATTGTGCTGCATGGCAAGAATAAGAATAGGGCCTTGTATTGATTCGTGCACCAGTCTTGGATGTTTTCCAAGGAGATGAGGAGGCATATCCCACCCATAATTGTTTTGTCTCCACCACATGTACAATTCATACTGATTAATTTTACCCAGACCATACTATGCATGCACACGCGGGCAAAGGAAGTATAACCTTGTGAGGGTGAAATGGTGCGCGTTCTAGAAGTGTGGGGTGGGTAGTGGGTCATTTTGGACTAACCAGGGATACGTTCATTTGTTTGACGAGCGTTGTAATACAAAGTCCACATCTCATTAGACGTACATCAATTACTTAGTCAACAAATAGTCTAAAGTAGATGACTTTTTCACATAAGGCAACCAATAATAGAGAAAAAAAATTAATAGCCTGTGGAGCTTAGTGTCTATCAGGCATTAACTGCCTGAAGGAGTGACCAATTTATGTAGTAACTTTCACAACATTCTCTTCTCACTCGGTGCAGACGTCGATGAATTGTTTCACTGCCGCTAATGCAATAATCGGTACTGAAAGTTGTTAATGACACGTTAATCACAATGGTAGCACACAATTTTTTAGTCTTCAGGCCCATGAATGGGCGTTCTCCCAGTATTAGTGTTATGCAGGACCTGGTTTCGATTAAGTCTTGGGCAGATTCACATTATAGAATTTGCTCTAGTACTTTATTCTGTTGTCAAATGCCACAAGTTTCAATGTTTCACCATAAATCCGACTAAGAGCTTACACATCTTTGGAAAAGAAAATTAATCCTTTAAACAAGCAAGCAAACCCAAATCGCATTTTTATCAACTGAATTTGATCACGTACTGGTGCATAAACGTGCTCTTACCGCTCATACGCAGTCACATACATTCCAAAAGTCTCTATAAGCTAATGGAGTTTATTCCGGAAACTAAAGGCAATTATTTTTAGCTGCCTGACAGCTTTAAACATGCAGATGTAGAAGCCTACAATTCAGCATTTTTTTTGAAATAATCACTATTATTTACAACGGTTTTTGAGGCCACTGCCAATTCGTCGAAAAACATTCCGAGTGTATTATTTTTACTTCCTCAACTCCTATTTTCGCATGTCCACCCTAGAGGTTTCCACCCACAGTTATCAATTACGAAAGCTATCACATGATATAACAAAAGGTAAGGGGAATTGGGAAAAGATCATTAGCACTCAGATTTACTAGTTATTCAGCCACATTTAACTTGTCAACCTTTTAAGGGCTACTAACAACAAAAAACCTAAAATTTATAGTCTATTTTTGAAGAGGATAATAATGTAGCTTCTCGAGTCTGAAGAATATGGTGCAGGGGAGGGTGCGGGCGGAGCAGCTACAGACATGGCCCGGAGGCCATGCCGCCCAGCAGAAGCACAAAGGCAGAGCCTTAAGTCCCCACTATACCCAGATGAGGAGTTAAACAAATATTCAAGGTATTACAGATATATTGCCTCATTTCTGTTAACTTAAAATACATTGTAGATCTATGTAGTTGAATTAAGCTAAATTTCGCACCGCATTTGGCACATCACCTACAGTCAGCATTTAATGTACCCAGATGTAGCGGCAGATTTTTAGCTTTAACCTCAATCCAACTAACCAAACATGACAGATGCGTAAAATTGTCTTGCTTATTATATGTAAATAATTTTAGTACTGCAAAGGGCCAACTTTTTATGCCAAAAGTGTGGCGCCAAACTGTTACACTTTTAAGGACCATTTTATCAACAATAAGCGGGCTTTTTGCATTCACACACGTTTTGTTCACCAATGTTGACAATCTGGATACTTTTTTAAATTTCCATAGCTTAATCTGTCTACAAAAATAAAATTTTACGGTCTTGGTGCTAAATGCAAGCCAACATCCAATTTTGTCAACCATCCCATGGCCTGATTTATTATGCTGGTAACACTTTGAATTTAAGGAAAGTAGAATTAAAACCACCCATCTCCTGGTAAATTAAAACAAGCTAAACCACCAAATAGTTAATTTTTGGTGTCATGGAAGTGAACATCCCCAACTGCTAAAATAAAGCACGCAAATTTTTTGCCTTTTTAAATGCTCGACTACGAAAACAAAATTTCCGTCTGGCAATTAGTTAAAAAAGAATCGCGAAAACCAATTATTTTAAAAGTTGCAATTCCCTTTCTGCGGTGTCATGCTCCAACTTTAATGCACGTCTATCACACACGAAGTTTGCAGAAGCACCTCGGCAGTGCTGATGTTGATGTCAGCTTAATGGTCACAGCGAGACATCGGAGACGCTCAAGTCGAGGTGGGTGGAGGGAGGGAGAGAAGGGGGTGTAGAAGTTACCACTTAAGGGGTCCTTCGTGTATCTTCCCAAAATTCGGTCCTAATTTGTCTATTCGAACCCTGACGATCCAATAGCGCACCGTTGGACAACTGCAGGAGCTTATAACTCCCAGGATTTGGTTCCTAACCATTCAAATGTGAACTTCCCCGATTGGTTTTTATTAAAGCGGGCCATTTATAAGTATATCTACGATACCGAGAATTTGTTTTAGCCCATATTAATGTAGACTATCAAAGCCCCATGTGGCTGAGTAAGTAGCCTTATCATTAAGCGGTAATTAACTTTGGGTGAGGTCTCATTAGAAAGCCTTTCAGCGTATTTCTCAGAAATTTCTTTTTTATGGCTTGTTTTACCCCTCTTATTGTAAGTGATATTCGCTGCTGGCAAGCTAACAGCGCTTGGATTGAAGTGACCCAAGAGTAGCCGAATGTAAAGGCATTTGAATCAGAGCTCATTTATTTACAACAAGACAATGAGAATATATTGCTATTTTTTTACCAACATCTATTAGCAAAAAAATTGCCATAATTACCTGCTGGAATTTACAAAACTTACACTTTATTAAGCAACCTTCCTTGGTGCCATGTTGAGGTTGAATGCGAAACAATTCAATGTTTATTAAACCTCTTTTACAGCAGTAACTCTTCCAAGTGTGCTTGTTTACAGAGTTTTATGCATTCAAGAAATGCGTCGAGGAGGACCTTACTTACAAGCCTGATGCATGCATGATTGTGTAGCGAACTGAACCGTGGTGAACATGAAGCGTAGAATACGGGCTAAGGGGAGGAGGGGGGTCTCTTTGGCCTGACTTTTAATGTCTCAAAACACGTTTCTGCTGTTTCTTTTTTGCTCAACGTGCTAGACCATTTTTCCGATGGAGGACAGATGTAATTGTTAGATAATGACGGGGAGGAAATAATCTTAATTCAAAACTTACTGCTCTATTCATGACAAAACAATGTGCCCGAGGATCCGCAATCGGGGTCGGCCGTAGCAGTGCACGAATTTAATCACAACAAGTACGCCTCCCAAGGCTTACGCCTTATTAATTCAACCGCAGGAAGTTTTTTTTTGCCACAGGAAGTTTGAAGAATAGAATATGATTAAGTTGCCCACGCAGAGCAAATAATAAATACTATTTATAGGACCACACAAACACTTATTCATCGAAGCTATGTAGGCAGTCTAATCCATTAGCGAAATTCTCTGCTCCCTTTCACTTCATGCTTTGTTTGTAGAAAAGGGAGTGGAATGTGATAAGTCTACAACCAAAATCTCATCAAAAGGGGATATTTTGGTCTGCTTTTTTCCCAGAACCTGAATTTATAAAGCAATTTTAACATTGACCAAAATGGTATAGGTGATTTGGATCAGACATAAAACTAGGATGAAGATAAACGATGTAGAACTTTTGGGGACTCAAATAACTCAAAGAAAATATGACTTGGATGAAAGCACAAATTATTCGCAGAAAGCATAATTCTTTTCCTAAAGAGCCCAGGATTTAAAACTTCCATACATAAGAGTTAATCAGCAAAATGCACTACTGGTTCATTAAAACACAAATACTGCTCTAAAAAAGAGCGAGTTTTTGTGCATCCGCTAGCAAGAACTACAAAAATTAAAATTAGTTACAAGTATATTAGGAAATCTGAACGTTTTGACTTTTTTCTATAATCCAAATGAAATAGCACAAGGTTGTTAGCCACATAATTAGTACATCAATTTAAAAGTTTGAGATGAATTAGTGTCACAGTGTTTCTGGGTTAAGAACAACAATCACACTTAAACAAGCTTTTAATAAAAAAAATGAGAAGTAATTACGTTGACGGTGAAGGGAAGAAACTGACACAGAAATTACTATTGTCAGGTGTAGGTGAATATTGTCACTAGTCGTGAATCCAATAGAAATTCCAACAACAAATAGGCAATCTGAGTAACAGAATGTTGTGAACAGGCGATAGGAAGTATGCGGTGGCAGCATACAACAGCATACAACTGGAAGATGTTAACAAGTTTTCCTCCACAGTAAATACCAAGGTGTTACTATAAGGAATACATAGAAGCAAATGTCTTTTTATTTCTGACAGGGATCAGAGTCATCACTCATTAAAGTGTCAGGAGAAGGGATGTGGACAAGAGATATGAACCTACTTTAGGAGAGAATCTAAAAGGTGTTAACAGCCAAAAGGTGTTTTTGCCAGTAATTAATGTTCTCTGAAGAGTAGGGATGGGGCGAAGAGATAGGGACTGGGGGGCACTCATTATTAAACAGGGTTGGTTGGCAGTTAGAGAGCAGACGCTACGAAAAGAGAAGGAAGAGATAAGCGCGCTTGTCTGTCAAAACGTCACAGCGATGTTATCTCTTTCTCCCTCTCTGCCTCTATCTGCCCCGTCTTGTACCCCTTTAATTCTTAATTAACACGGTTGCTGATGCATTAAAATTTTAATTTTATAGGCCTTTAGCATTTCACTTAGAGCGTTTTTTGTTCCTTATTAAATCCCCTTGTTTTTACTTAAGTGACTAAAAGAAAGGTTCCCATTTTTTGGTTCATTTTGCAAGCAACCACTACTACTTAGTTCTGCTAAACCGTCACGTACTTAGAAAGCGCTTAGGGCAAGGGAAGGTCTAAAATTAATTGCTCTGGATGACTGATTATAAGGCGAAGGGTTATTTAATATACAAGCAAATTACTTTCCCAAATTTTTAACTCCTTTTCAAAATAAAAGTATTGCAGTTAAATAATTTTAAACTATTAAACGCAAATTTGACTGTGAATGGAAGGGTAGACTAGTGCAAAGTGCGTTTCATCTGTAAGCAAAATGTGTTTTACTTTGACTTTTTTGAGTTGTCAGTTTTGATTTACCATGTATACTCTAAAGCATCACTGAAGTTTTTTTGCAGAGAAGGAACAATTTTTAGAAATTGAGGAAAATCCTAGCGTTTGACTGAAATCCCATTCTCAAATTATCACGAGAAGAATTAGTCCGGAATGTCGTTCTGTCGTGCTTGTCATCGAGAACCAGAAAACACTCAGAAGGTCGCTATTTCAAATGTAACGTTGCCGTCTTAAACACTCGGTTGTAACTTTTTAGTAAAGATGAGTCTACCACTTTTAAATTTTAGGCAATGCAGTTTCTGTTAATTAAGAGGCATGAAAATAATATTAAAGCCCTGGCTGTTTGAATGAAGCAAAGAGAAGAACTTATTGTATCCGAACACTCTCACACAAATAGAATGGAATCTTAGTGTTTGCTTGATTGAATGCCCGTTCTACATACATTCATTGTGTCCAATTTGAGACCAAAATATGCGGTAATTCGAACCATTTGCGTCAAGTTTACTCATCAACAAATCCTGAAGTCGTTCTGTAGGCAAATAACCATGCTTTGCGACGCGTAGCCCCGTACTAATTTGTATTGGTCTAGTCGGTAGGGGGTTTTAAACACTACCCTCGATTAACTACTCTCACACGTTTTAATTAAGCTTGCCCTTAGTCTACCTTTTATGTATAAGAGCTTTATTGGAAGGAATAAAGGGAGCAAACCGATATTCTTTCGGAAACTGAAGTATTTTAGCTGTCAAAACATAGGTGAATATTTACTAGTCTATTTACTGTTAGCGGGTATATTTTCACCAGTATTTTTTCACCAGTGTTGGGAAGAAATGGGGAATTGGAAATGTGTTTGTGAAAATACGCATTCTATGGTTCTTTTTTTGGCTGCCAAGGACAACAGTCCTATTAAATAGCATTGAGGATCTTCTGAAGTAACCCTATCGTGGTTACTCAGTCTCCTATGTTTAATATGCGCCTTCTATCCATGTCTACTTGCCTAAAAATAAAGCAATAATTATCAAGAAGAAGTTAATTAGTTAATTTTTAGTAAACTTAGGTTCAATTTCTGCGTATGACACCATGCTTAGCAGACTGACTACTAAAGCAACTCGTGACGTCAATGCGGGTGCCACTTTACATCAACGTTGGCCACATGCACAGAAAAAATAAGGGTGTCTTAACTACCTTGACTTAAGCATTTTATTTGGCAGTATGCACTGAAAGGAATGGAATCTAAAGTCTCCCGTAACATTTCACTTTACCACACAGTTTACATTGGGCATTCAAACATCCCCCCTCTTCGATAACTACTGTTGATACACTCCCTCTAGTCAGAAACTTAGCACCTTCTCCAACCAAGATTTCAGGAGGAAATTGCTCACGACAACGCAGCTATTTTGTTGTTCCAGTACCACCCAAATTGCCATTTTTTTGCTCAACTCAATTGCCGCTTGAAAACTAAGGAAATGTAATTTTCTTTTGATCGCAAAAATCCTACATCCATGCGTTAACGACAGTGTTTAATGTATTTGCAGCTATGACAGAGAACACTACATATAACTGTGACCAAGAAATCGGCTAAGAAATTACAGTGTCACATACATGCGACGCCAGTAGTAAACGTGCTGGAACATCATATGATACAAAATCATCAGTACTCTCTAGGATCAAGGCGCAATAAGTGTACTTTATACGTAATGAGTACTTACTGCTGGTATATTCTATAAAATAACATTTATTTAGTAAACTTGCCTTTTATGCAAGATAGGATGGAAGGCTGTATATAGCGGGGATAACTCAAAATGTAAAGAGTAGTACCTTTCTTGGTGAAGCGGACTAAATTATTATTTTTGCCTTGTCAGCTGCCATTAAATCCAGAGGATAGCATGGATGTTGCACATAAACTAAGGTTTTAGAGTTTTAAAAACAGTCAAATAATTTGTATTAGCATAGATTACTCAGAAGAATGACTTAAAGCATTAAAAAAAAACATGAAATATCAATTTGTGGTGCATTTTGACTACAATTCCTATTGGCAATCCGAAACAGACGCAAGAAGGCATAAACTAGCATTTAAAAGGTAAGACAAAAATGAGATAAGTCGTCGTTCAAAGACAGGACCTTGGTATTCACCGCGTGCCTTAGTGTCAACTCGTACCAAGACATCGCGTAGAATACCAAATTCACACAGCGTCTCTCTTAACCACCAGGCCAATAAATTAACAAGGCTATTGAGGAGGAGAAGGAGGTGCCTCAATTCACCTACCTTGCACAATCCATGCGGCTGTCCGACCCACAGTTGGTACGACCACGCTCAAGCCTCTGTGACAGTGATACGGTTTACCTGAGAGAGGGAAACGTGTCGCCTCTGTCCCCTGCTTCGCCTAAATTTCCCCTGAGCAGCGCTCAGGCACGTCTGCTCAGGAGTTTTGCTTTTGCACCTGTCTGTACACTCTGGATCCCTTCTATGCCTAAGCCAATCGCCTTCATGCCAGCCGTCTTGCCCACATGCACACGTGAGTCACGGAGAGGCTGTTTGCTTCTCCGCCTGTCCGTCTCTCTGTCTAGTCTACTGCCTTCTCAAGCTTGGCGATTTTGTGGACCAATCACAGTGAGAGGCAATTTATGGCAGCAATCTCACATTTATTTGATTCACTGCTTTTTACCTTCCATTTCTACACTACTGAGGAGAAGAAAATCAGTCATTAATAAAATCCCAAGTGGCAACATAAGTTAAAGGACAGGGGTTGAATAAGTATAGGTATGGACTAAGAGCTACGTCACCAGGAGTGTGGTACAATTTGTGGAGACTAAAAAGATCAAGGAGACGTATGCTCAACCAAATGTCATTGTACTAATTCCATCCATGCCGTCAAAAATCATTATGTTATTTCGTGTTTCCACACCTCAACAGTGGTCGATCTAAAGGTTCAACGCTTAGTCATGGAGGGGTGATTTATTAATGCTCACTGAAGCGATGATTCAGCAACCATCTTTTATGGCTGGAGTTGACGCAATACAGTTGCAGTATGGAAAAATTTCGAGGTACAATTTGTGCCAAAAGTAAAGGTATTTAAGTGATCTCGAAGCAAATGAACACGAAGCTCTGATGAGATGTAAAGGCCTATTTTATTCTAGTAAAGTTAAGTAATCTCGGATTTTGTATCTTAAAATGTTCCCAGCAATTTTAGGATCCATATTATCAATTGAGAAGTCATGGAACCGTATGGTGGTAATCTGATTGCTTGTTTAACTCAGGGGTTTTGGTGCCATGGACACTTAAGACTGCCTTCGTACTTCCACCCAGCAGCATCACCTCCGAACAACGAAGTGGCCTATTAGCTTTTTTCTACGTTGGCCTAGTAATATGACTTCTTTCGTCCTCAAGGGAGCCATGGAGCGCTCTGACATCTTGTATTTCTGAAAGGGAAACCCTTTTAACTATTTTACAAGCGAAATTGTCCATGTACGACCATATTCGGTTTAATTAACTTTATTTTGGAAGAATCTCACTAAAATGTTTTCCCTTTTACGAATTACTTTGCCTAGCAGTTTAAAATTGCAAATTGTTAATTTAGTATACTGTGGACAGCACTGCACAGTGGGTCCGAAAATTTTTCGGTGACTTTTACCGACAGATCCACGTGGAGTAAGCTACTTTCATTAATGCAGTGAAGATTTTTAAAGATCTTTTTTACTCATCCCATTAAAATGATACATTTTTGGGAGTGCGTACTAAGTAAGGCCTTTTGCTAATGCATTCACTTCCAAATTTTAATTCATTCGGGCGTTGTCAGCATCCAATCTATTTTGAGAAGAGAAGCAGCGCTCTGTTTCGGTCGATTACGAAACGGTGGCACCGAAAGCGCAACGTAAGTTTTATACCACTAGATGCAAGGCAATTTTAAAACTGAGCTTTTGTATTGCCCCGGGTCTACGCTGAAGATGAATGAAGCCATAATACTATGGCAGAAAAATTTCTGCTAAAATTAGGGAAGATACTGGCAGAACTCCAAGGCCTTGCCATCCAGAGGAAGTACGAGAGTGGAAATTTAAGTGCCCGCAAAACCAACTCAAAAAAATAAATTATACAACCAAGGCATTACATAACTCCTACTATATAATTAAAAAAATCAAAATAAATTGTTATAATAAGAGGAAAGGCAGACGGTGTCTGTTCTACGTTCTTAGCATCCAATCACAGCTTCGTCAGGCCTCTTTAGTGCACCAATCAACAACAGAAAGCCATCTAGGATACATTGTTGGGGAAATACTGTCGAAATTACTATCAGTTCGATGTAATTCATCAACGGAGTTCATATGGAAATCATGACTAGTAATACTTGGGCCTTTTCGTCTCCCTTGACTCAGCCTCCAGGCGGATGGATGCCGCCTGTGCTACTACTTTGCTGATGACAAAACCACTTCTAAGCTGGGTCGCTTTATAGCTTCTTTGTGGACAACTCCGGGAATAAATATAACGTCTTAGAAGTTTAAAAAAGGTTTTCTTGAATTCCGTCCTCCAGGCAGAATTCCTTACTTCGAAAAGTCATCGTTAGGGTTGAGATCCTGCGCCTTTGAATACCTTGATTTAACTGCTGAATAGAGTGCACACAGACCATTGTAAATGTTATGCTTACTAGTCTAACGCATTAAACTTTTTAAATCTTTCTCCCTCCGGTAAAACGGTGCGCACTCACCAACGAAATTCACGGCCAAGAGTTTCACCACCAACTCCCTTCACATAAAAACACACTAGCTCTGCAGTCACATCAGTCACTTTTCCGACAACCAAAGCAAACGTCAAAATTCCCATTATAATCTCCGACTCCCTGCTTCCCTAAAGCATTTGTTACTTTGACATTGAAAGGCGCCTCGCCCTGACAAGAGTGCGGTGTGGTAGGATGTTTCCTTCGCCCCTTTATAGCGCATTTGCGAACCAGGAGTAGAAGCGAGTTGTGTTTGTTTTTTATCCTTTTTTTTTCAAAAACTTCGAATTATTTCATTTGAACCCGAAGAAGGAAGTTTAATTTAGGAATGTACTTTGTTGAAAAAGTTGGGAAACAACTGGTCGGTAAAAGATTTGAAATTTAATTTGAACGTCAACTTGTAATTATGCTCACTGCGAAGACGGAACGTATTTTGAGATTACTATACTTCTGGCGTATATTTTCCAATAAATGCTTTGACAAAAATATTTAAAAGAAAGTAAAACAACTTTCCAAATGGAAATTTGACAATATTGTCAGCCAGGATGGTTACGATGATCCGTGATAAAGTGCTCATTTTGCCTGAGGTTTCGCGAATAAAAGTAGTGTACACCCCTCAGTCTTTCTAGAAGTTGAAAAAAGGAATAATAGTAGAGCAGAATATGTATTGACGACGTAGGGAAGGTGTGGGGGAACTACTGGCATGGCCCTGAGACCGTACCATCCAGTGGAAGTACAAAAGCCGAACTTTGAGTGTTTACTTGAACAAAACGTGGGATTAAACAAACAAATTAGGTATCACATAGCCTCGCTCTCTACCTTTGAGCTTCGCCCCTGGGACACTACTTGGTATACCTTCCGCATCGGCCATCACAACGAAATTAGTGATGTAAGAAAAACACTCATGAACCAACTGTGCAAGTCATCGTATTTACGTTACTGACCCCTCTTGGTAATTCGACCGGAACTTGAGTCTCGTCCCTCATGGGAACTGCATTGTAATGAAGGGAATGCAGTGGTCGTCTTGTATGTCCATCGGTAGTCTCAAGATCACTTGCCAAAAAGCAGGGTTATGCAACAAAGGGTGGGATGCAACATGGTTTATCAACATGGACTCTATCCACCTAGTACTGAGGTGAAGGAGGTTTCACGTTTTTACTTAATCGCTATTTTGATGCAGGCGCCGTAGACAGCTCCGTAACGAACTTGTACAAATGATTTACAGCTAGTGTTGCTTCAGTTGTTTATATCATCCCTGGGGAATAGGGGATTAAGAGAGCTGCTGAAGGCAGACGTCATTTTTAACCTTTCTGTTAAAGGTCATCACCCATTCTCCCATCCACAGCATGTGCTCTTCTTCCGCCACGTTAGGATCGGGTTTGCTTTCCGCTATCTTTGATGCGGGGCCTTGAGTCTTCCCTAGAGCCAAAAGAAGTTATATAACAATAGAGATCGTGTATTTTCGACGCAGAGAGGGGCTGGGGGGGGGGCTGCTGGCATGGCCTCTGGGTCACACAACACAAAGAAAATAAAAAGGAGGTGTCGTAAGTATCCACAAAACCAAAACCAAGGGTTCAGCACATAAACAAAGTATTTCAGTAGTTTTGATATCATTCAACTTGTCAACGATTGTTAGTATTCTTTTTTCAAATGCTCAGTATCTTCTTTTTAGCACAAAAAGTACAAATCAGTCAGTGTTGGATCTTTCATACTACTTTCTTCATGATATAATTTAAATCAAATTTGGATATGATGATTTCAATCATCAATTGGAATGGAATGCGAGCAAATCTCACCCTTTGCTTTTTATTTTTATATCAGCTGAAACAAAAGAGACTACGAGTGCTTTAGATAAGTGTAAGCAAAAACCCACCAAAGCTGCAGCCTTTTAAAAGATAAAAGGCCTTTATCTATGGCCATTCAGAAGAAATAGAATTCAAACCCAGTTCCAAATAGCGAACTGCTGTTAAGAGAGACAATGGGATTTGAAAGTACTTGCAGAATTGTCCATTTTTCAATCACCAGTACTACTTCTCAATCAAATCCCTTCAATTTAGCAGTCCAGCATTAATTAAGATGGATGTGATTAAATTACTCACAAATCATGGTAACAGGGGCATCATCTCCATGTCGTCCTCGTTCCTATCGCAAAACCCTTCTTATACCACGACGTGGAGGGGTGATAAAATCAAAAAGTCAAAAAGGAGCAAAAAATTTCACTGCCTATTTTCCTGTTCCACATTCATTTATGAGGACATTTATTCCAGCGTTTTATGGTTTTTTTTTTCAAACCTCCATCTTCACGTCTTGCATCGCCTTTAAGACTGGGCAGAGTATTATCAAAGCCATTTTGATTCATTAAAAGAATTTCTATTTTTAGATGGGATATGACATGCCCCAGTCTTCCCATCTCCAATGCATTAAGCCCATCTGCTGATCTATCTGTGTGGTAAGAAAAGTTGCCTCGTCCTACCACAATATAATCCTTACAAATTAAAATATACATAGATAAATCGTTTTTTGACAAAAGATCTAGTTGTAATCTAAAATTTCAGACCGTTTTAAGACGAATCTGTGCGTCACTGATTTGTGTCGGGATACCACGCATTACCCAATCTCCGTTTATTGAAAAAGGACATTCCTGCGTAGTTGAATCCTAACCTACTTGGCCTGAAGGATTAACGTGGTTTTAGCATCAGGTACAAATTGAGTGGCTAAAATGACTTAAAATCCACAGTTAAAGTGTTGAACTCACGCAGAAGGTTCTCAAAGATAACTTCAATTTTTCTCCCTAGTATTTATTGTTAAGTTTCGGGTATTTCATCCATATAAAGTCTGACAATGAAACCATATCTGCATGAAAGGTAGTGTGGAATTTCGCCGTCGGTAGTAGTGGATATAGTATCGCAGCATCAAATCAGTGACCTGTCATGTGACACTGTGGACCCTATTTACAACCCGCTAAATAAAGTCCGAAAAAATTTGTGGTCATATTTACTGCTGACCCTTTAACAAACCGGACAAATGTGGCGATTGAAAGTGCTCAAGAAGTCTATAGACTTCAGTCTATAGTCTATAGACTGTTTCTGCAAAAAGATGAACTGCGGGAACGGCATGAAATATTAAAAGAAATTGTGGAGCATCCTGAGTCTTTCCTAAAAACGAAAGAAGTGATAATCCTAGGGCAGAATATACACTGTCGACGGGCTGGAAGGCTAATGGCATGGTCATAAGACCATGCTGCCCCACGAAAGCAAAAACCCCGGGCCTTAAGTGCCCGGGAAGCCAAAATGAGGAGTTAAACAAACTCCCAGGGTGTTAAAATTATTCGAACTTTTCAAAAATCCATTTCGATGAGCAAAAAATTCGAGTAAATAGCTCCCTACAACACTAGCAAAGAAATTTGCCGATATCTTATCTGCTGAGGGCAATCTAAAATTAACATTTTCAAATGTGGCAGATGGTGACCCAAGTGCGAGGGGATCAGGATGAGAAAATACATGTAGAACCTAAATGAACGAATAAAGGCAATGGAAATAATTGGACCAATCCCCTGTTATAACAAGTCTTCATCATAGAAGATATGGTTTAAGGCTTCGTGATACTGTATTCAGCGATGACTCGGGAAGAGTCATTAATTCTCGAACAGTAGCTAAAGTGGGAAACCTCAGCTTAGTTTGCACAAAAAAATGGAGATTTGGAAGTCAAATAGCTAAATTTTATCATCATTACAGAGAAAGTCATTGCAAAATCGCCATAGATGCATATATTTAACGGATATATAGCATATACATATTACTCTAAACATTTAAAATGACCTCATCTGCTGTTTGTTTGCAAGGTGTTGGAGGATCGTAGTGATACGCATTTACCGAGCCACTTGAACAGAAGGTTCGTTCCCTTAACCCACTGTAGTCCTGGTATTTATTGCTCAACCAAGAAAGTATCCGTACAAAACACTTCGTTACAATTGTTTATGAAGGTGGCTTTAAAATCTGATTCGAATGTAATTTAATAAAAAGAGGAAAGGTATAATTTGGATGGCTACATGTTCCTTATCGTCCAAGCAGAAAAAGTGGCTGGAGCATCCGCCTTACTATTTCTGCTTGACTAAAAACTTAAGCCAAATTTGCTTCGTAGTAGGAAAGAAAAGTGGGTTTGGGATTAATAAATGCTAGACTTTTAATTAAATCCTCTTTCTTCTTGAGTGGTTACAACCGACACCTTTTTGGGTGGATAGAGAGGAGGATTTGAGTTAAGAACATGAAAACTTTTCTTTATTGAAGCTCGGTACCAAACAACTTTATTAATCAGCCATTTCGAAAAGAAACCCACAGCCAGATGCAGAGAAAACAGAACAATAAATTCGTTTTGCAGTCGCTGAGTGAACACATGACTCCCTTCATTGAACCCTCGACTTCTAGCACGCAATACTTATCGACAAAGAAGGAGTTTATTGAAAAATCGCAAACAGAGAAGAAAATCCGAAATTTTGCTAAATTGCTGAGAAACACAGGGTTCCTGATCTAGGATGAGACCAAGATCCTTTTATTTCAATCTTCGAAATGCCAACTCTGCTTGACCAGCTACAGTGACATCTTGTTGCGCCTTGTCTGTGATTTGTGTGCAAATCAAGTGAGTCTCTGTAGCTCACTGGTTAGCTAGCTACTTCGCTAACTGGCACGAGTACGACGAACGCATGCATCGGAGTGGTTGATGGCTCGCATAAACTCCGGCACAAGGTGCCACCAGGTACAACCACCAATTTAGCGATATCTGGCTAGTGTACACAGTAATGGTGCTCATCAAGCCTATTAAGCCTGCCAGTCAATTAAAATTGGAGGCCGCAGGGGCACCTAAACGCACCCTCCTCAGTTTGGTGCAACGGAAGAAGAGCGAACATCAAGGCGAGTTGGATTTATCTCCCCTGGATGTAATTCGAATGCGGCTTATGGAGCAACGTAAACAGTCAGAAGAGACTAGCGAAAATCGCACCTCTACCGACAAGCATGCAATCACCCCACCACCAGCAGAAAGCGAGAGTGAGGAGGTGTTTAAATACAAGGATGAAGAGAAGGATAATTCCTTCAAAACTGCCACGGAGGAAGAAGATCATAAACAAGAGGAGAAAAACCTCATTGAGATGTAACTGTGCATTGTCTTTTATGTCAAATACATGCTTTTACGTACATAATGAAAGTCTATGGATTTGCAGCCGACTGAGGCGTTGGCGCTCCAATAGCCAGATTAAGATTAAAAGTTCTTTTTAAAATAACCGTCGGAGACATTTTTTATACGAAAAATTTTCAGGATTCGTATATAAATTGGATTTCTTATTTAAAGACCAGGTACTCCTGAATTACAACGACTCCTCTCTTAATAATCACATAAGAGGTTTTCTTGACGTACGGCGATCTGCGTTAGGTTTTTTGAAATCTTGTCAGTTATTTCTCTGCTCTATGCATATCAAAAATGCACTTCGCATCAAACGACAAACATGCTATTTACTATGGTAAATCTTTCATCCAAGTGCAGACCTATCCGAATACATGGGTAGTTAAAGAAGCTATTTGTGGATCATATACTTGTAAATTGTGATTTCCTCCATACATGGGGTTGATTTTCTCTGCAATACTTTACATTTCTTTAATTCTAAATGGACGCATTAACAAATTAACAAAATCCCAAGTTCAACTGATGCTTAGCTAAAACCGAAATTTAACCAAAGGGAAGTATGCCCTGAATTCCAAAAGGACCCACCCCGAAAACAACTACTGAACGGCGCAATGCGGACAGGTTGACACTTTAGCGACACCAAAATGCGGTAAAACAATTTTAAGCAACTTTTACTTTGCATTGCTAGCATTTTAACCCCTCGAATTTTTTAGTTTCCCTTAAATCTGTGATGTAATTAGTCAACAAATACCTACTTCTCCTGTATTTGCGACCAACTTGCCAAAACCCACCTCAAAAAATACCTTTTTTTACCGTTGTATAACGCGTAAGCTCTTGAGGGGGAGTGAAATCCACCGTTACACCTGAGGCCTTGGTGAAGTTAAACAAGATTTAATGCCAAGTTACAAGAGTAAACTCAGTTTCTTGACATTTACAGCAAATCGTTAGTTTTCACAACTTTGGCACATCTCCAGTGCAGGACAATAAGACATGGTGGAGGAAAATTACCCCTTTTTCCCGTTCACTGAAGCAGGAGGTAAATTTATTGCCTTAACCATTGCAAAATTTTATCTTCTGTTTGAAACTTTCATTAAATGCTACAATATTATGTGTTTTTAATTGCTAATGGAATTGGTCTCTTTCAGATGAGATCACGAATGGCTGAACATACTTATCTTGAATCTAAATAAGATTATGCTCTTAAAATTTGAGTCATATTTGGCCTTAAACTCCATATAAGAGCAGTGTATCTGATGGTATACCACATAATAAAAGACTTGCAGGTGCCTCTGATTTTCATTGTTGAAGAGGTTGTGACATGCTGGGGGCTTGACAACTTAATTGGTATTGATTTAAATTCAAAGAAGCACTTATTCACGTTAACATAAGGTGTAAAGCAATTATAATACATAAATTTGATGCAAAGGCTCCGTTTCAACTCGCAATGTGCTCGTGTAGATCAGCTACCAAAGTGTCAGGAAGTTCACGTGACATGTTCAAACACACGTCCTCAAATCAATTCCCCACAGTGGTTGCAAACGCATAGCTTCTGCATGATTAAGTAAATTTTTAGCTATTTTATCCACATGACCGAGACTACAGAATTTCACAGTTTGTGGCCAATGCTGAGTGGTCGAACTACAAAAAACCATAAATGCAAACTTGAAATTGGTCCCAAAACCCTGCTCAATGAGACATACTGTGAGATACAGTCGTCCACAGAAGATCTCGCCTTCAACACGAATGCAAAAACCGCAACCAGTTCACCAGATCGATTGAAAAAGATCTTTGCCGACCGCCAATCGCATCGAAGCCTTGCGGAACAGAAGGTCAGTGATTGGCTGCTCAAATATCGCTCCTATACCCACATTCCACCAAAAGACATGAGTGATGTGCCAGAGAACATTTGGGCTCCCCTCGACATCGACCGGAGTTCCAAAAACAATGCTGCTTCTGCTCTTGGACGCGCTGGATGCGGTAGCAGGGTCGCCGAACCCCGAATCAAGCGTAGGGTAATTAATTGTTCCAAAGGCAGACCATCAAGACTGCCATCGGCTAGCCATGCAGTTTCATTCAGTCCAACAAAAATATGGGACGGTAAAGGGCACCAACCGTACTTCTTCGAACCACCTTACAGAAAAGCTGAAAGCTGCCTGAGAACTCGCGAAGAGTCGAAGAGATTGACTGCATTGAAAAGCATTGAAAACTACATGAATGTGAGCAGAGGCCTACTCAAAGGCTCGAGATTGATGTCATGAGACAAAAACGTTCACATTTCATTTGTTTCTCCTATCCTTCTGTTTTCTTCTCCCTTATGTTTTCTCATATGCCGTTTGTTATTAATCACTAGTTTGCCTATCTTCACTCCACTCGATTTTCCCTAATTTCATTTATTTCGCCTTCCAAGTGAAGTACTACAGAGGTTAAAACGGAGTAAACAATATCTAAGTGCCCCTTTACAAACAGAATGATCTGTCAGCAGCTATTGCATTTCAAAAAATACTGCAGCAAAAAAGGTGTATTAGTCAAAAGTCATCTGGAAGGGCCCTTTCATTTGGTTCTGATGGTGCTCTGATCGGTACGCAAGAAGTTAAAATATAGCACTATTCTTGTCATTATCTTCCTATTTAAATATGGGAAATTAATAAATAAAGTTGTGTACTTTATTCTCTTATGGGACCTAAACAAAGTTATTTATGTAGAATTTATTGTTGAAGTAATGAAGCACAAAAGCGAAGGCACTTGACTGCAGATCATGCAACACAGTAATGAATTTAGAAGAAAAATAAATAAAACTGGACTTTTGAGAGCAACAGCAGACCAAAAGTACAAATTAAGAAACAATACTTAGACCTGCTAATGGTGAATGTATTCAGTGTCCAGAATGGTCCGGTGTGGCATCATCAATCTTAACTTGGCATGTCACATGTTATAATCAAAGAAAACTACATATTAAATGAAGAATGCCACCTATCCATCTTGTATACTATTACTGAAAATGAAGAAAAATAAGTTGAATATTTGCAATCAAAGTAATTTTACCCCTTAGAATTTTTGCTACAAAGTTAGTAAATTTGTGAAACACTGGAAAAACAAATTTTGCTATAGTTTAACGTACATTAAGCAATGACGCGAGTCCTTTGAACTTTTTATGATTAAAAGTTTGTTTAAGGGTGGAAATAAAAATTGCCACAGGTCGTTTCCAGAGTAATTTTAAGCCGTAAGCAATTTCAATGCGCTGATTGCATCGTCACCAAGGAAAACGCCAATGTGTAAGCGTTTGTGGAGGACGGTAGCCAGGAAAGAGGGAAGAGTTCCGTTTTTACGTGCAGATCAGAAAGAATTGAAGGGTTTGACGGTGAGAGGGCCTGAGTACCCACTACTTGTCAGAAAAGGAGGTTAAGGCTTAATTAAGACCATTTTTAGGGAAAGGGAAATAAATGCATCTCGGAACCGCGTAACGACTTACTGTACAGATTTTGGTGAGAAAAGTGCCATCACAGGAAGCCTAAATAAAGGTCAAATGAAACGGATAACATTTTGCAATAGGATACGTAGGGTTGAAGGTTAAAAGAACATTCCTATGGACTTTAAAATAGAGCCTAAATCGAATCTCTGATTGTCAAAGTGATCCGATCGTAATGTAATTAACAGTACTTGTCAACATTTTTGTTTTTTTGAGATTGAAATGCAGGTAAAGCCTGCTATACACTTATGCATTCACAAACGGAGCTGCCTCTTTTGCTTTACAAAGCTTGATCTCTGCCTGGGACATTCACGTGGTTGACTCATATTGGAGGTTGGAATCACAAGTATGAAATTTCTCACAACTTCGTAGAGAGTTACCACATTTGCTAATTACACACACCCATAGTAGCTGCAGCAAAACATTTCGGTGGTGCCCAAAGCCTGTAGTATCACTGAAAAGCTTATTTGAATTCGAAAACTGCATTTTTTGACCACTATTTATCTGGGAAATCTCTCCGGAAAATGACAGTGTCACATCATCTCAGGGAAAAGAAGTGGGAAGTGCTTGTTCAAATTTGATGTGTCAGGCAACTCAACACATAAGATTCGTCTAAATTTTCTTAGATACTAATCGTTTTAATGATATATGGTAAGGTAACTGAAGTTGGATGCCTTTCATAAATGAGTATAAGAATGATATCTTCACCTCTAGCTATCATGAGCAAACAATAAATGGAATCGTTTGAGTAAAATCTACCATGGTAACGACAAAATGAATGTTTTGGATTGCGTCTCAATGAAAAGTTCTCATCCCCACTGCGATAAGCATAATGGGAGGTTTGGGGACATGCTTCTGTGCTCTCTCCAACCGGTGTCACAAAACAGTGACTTTTATAAATCTGCAACTGAAACGAAAGGATTGACTCCCTGTTTACCTTTGACTTGCGATTAACCGCTACTTTCCCTGACGATTGATGCCAACCCATTATCCCCGTATAGGTGACTCACTTTCCCGATTTAATCGCAAGCCATATAAAAACCTCCAAAGCCACTGCATCAAAGTACAGCATACTTGTTAGGTATGCGCTCTCCAGCTAAATGCTTTTGAGTTGGTTGTGCAGTTTCGTGATGGAAATTTTGCTAGAAAAAACCTCGAAGTACAAATTTTCAGGAATATTTATGGCAGGAGAATGCATGAACTTTCCCACTTGTTGAGAACAGAAACAGACCTGATAAGTTGTCAGCGTCAGTGAGTTAGTCAATGGTCTTGTGTGTAGGTGAGGGTGGATAAACATGCGTAACACCTAGTCACTGCGTGTTAAGACAGTGGTTTGCTCTCGACACCACACAATCGCAGCACAGAATATGCTCCCACGCACACGCAAGGAAAGCTTTACAGCATCACACCAACCCTCATTATAGTCAATAAAAGCTCCTTTTACACCGTGCTTGTAAAAATTCAACGGATTTGTCTTCTATCCTATTTAAAAGGCGATAAACTGCTAGTCGAGGCACCTCTTTTGCTGTCTATCTGTCAAGTAGAGGCTTTTGGTGTGTACTACTAATGTGCAGTTACCTCTCGTAAGTCAAAAGGAGAAAATCTCTCAGAAACATGCAGTGTGATACATTTTCTTTAGGAAAAATAACAAATGGGAAAGTAGTTATAAAGGAACTAAAAAGAGAACGTTGGTGGTATTTACTAAAACAAATTAAAAATGGAATGTTCTTCTGGAGAATCTATTTCACCTTTCAATGAGCTTTAGAACAGCCCAGATCTAATAAAATCACTTTAAAGCATTTCTTATAAAGAAGAATAGAATAATCCAGCGAGTGAGTGTCAAAGGATTACATTTTTGGCAAACATGAAGGTGTTAGTTCCAGACTTGGGCGCACTACAACTGCTCAGTACACGAAGTTTGATTAATTGTGTGCTGTACAAACCGCGTTATTACAATAAGTGGCTTAAAAGGTTTTTTACTTCTCTATTTGAATAAAACCAGCAATTTTCACAATGCTTCATAGGAACTCCATCTACCCATAGCCTTAATGGGTGTGACAATACCTCTGAAAGTGAGTACTTCTACTAAACTTCCCGTTTTTTTGGTCGGAGCACCACAATTCGCATTATTGAGGGCTCTTGAACTTTGCTTTTCCAACGGGCTTCAGTTTCTCACTTTCCGAACTTCACCTTTGAACCATTAGTACGTGAACTTGAACGAAGGGCAGTTATGCACTTGGGTTGATCATCAATGATACATAGAAGTTAAGTGTTTACTGGCAATAAAAGCAGGTGATTAAATAGGCGAATATTTAGTTACAAAAGAGTGAGCAAGATCATATTCTTGCTACACAATTTAGTAAGAAATTAGAGGCGATGGTGGATTGGTTAGTTTGGGTCGCTTCAACAGCAATCCCGATCCCTGTGTATGTGCGCTGCTTCTCACCGAATGGAATAACGTTTTCGTTAGCACCTTTGGTCTGCCCCTTATACTTGGGTCTTTTGAGGTTAGGGTAACCTTAGCGCGGTAAAAACACGCATGTGCCACTGACTTTACTCCTAGCCTCCTCTTCAATTTGGATGCGGAGACTACCAGACTCAGTTTCTTAATCGACACTGGTGCTGAGGTTGGCGTTATTCTACCTGGAGCTAAACAGCGCAACCTTTAAACTACTGTGTACATCACGCCGGTGGTCAACAATACGTTCATCCACACTGACAAAGGGCAGTCCTATTCTCTTGGTCGTGGTCTACTATTGTAATTTCTTTTTGTATCAGCAACTACCAGCGTTCAACGTTCTGTCAATGGCGTTGTTTCTCTCTCGCTTATGTAAGCGCATGACGCTTTCCATTGTCTAAAAAGCCATAACACTCTATTCGATTGTCCCTCGATTCGCTTTACCACTTGATAAGGCGTTTCCAGTACTTCTTGCGCAGTCTCCATGTGTAACATGCTAGAACACGATGTTGATCCGGCATTCCAGCAGTAATTGGCATTCCTCTCCTCATGTAGTGGTTAGGAAAAATTTTTATGTATGAGAACATAGGGAAGACAACCGAGAACTTAGTGTTGTGATGGTGTCTGATTAGCATCACATAGCCAACTCACTGCATATTCAATACAGACACGATCTGGTGTGCAGACAGGGCTGGATCCTCGCCTGGTCCCTTCTCATTAATATTTGCCCTACGATCACATTTTGGACATGCCACAAAGCCTCCTGTCAGCTGCCTACAACCCATAAAGCCAATTTTTTTAGGGAGTATTTACTTTTTAGTATAGCAATTTAAGGAGGAAATATTGTAGTGCTTATAAAAACCACCAAGGTAACCGCTTGGATGCACGCTTCCAGACAGAAGGGTAGCAGGAATACATGTACAGGTTTGTCGTGGACATCTGTCGAGACGGCATTTGGCAAGGCCAGTCATGCGTGGGAGTAAGGATCTGATTTATGCAAATCAACTCCTGACGGCTATTTAGCCACACACATCTACACATAATCTCCGTTTCTCTAGCACGCTACGGAGAACAATTCACGAAGAGTTTTCGCTACATTTAAAAGAAAGGTGGATGAACGTAATGGGTTGTTGGCTTCAATACGTAATGTTTTTTTTCGGCAACACAGACTACTGGCTCACAAGAACGGCTTACCAATGGAACTTCAATTTTGTTTGCACGTATGCCTCTCTAGGTGTCGTTGAGAGAGGAGTCTGCTTGCCAATTCGTGTGTTTGTGGAGCAGTGAACTGGAGCTTTGTCGGAAAAACATCGCATCAAGGGGAAGTGAAGGAGCAGGAATTGGCAACATATGGTTGTGGTAGATAGATTTGAGCCCGAATCCTCTGACGGTATCAAACCCGAAGAGGGTAGTAATGCAGCCTATGATAAAAGCCGATCCCTTCCTATAGTCCCGTTTCCGGAGGAAAGAGAAGGTAATTGAAATTCAAGCAATTCTATTGCAAATTCAGAATGAATTTGGCAATTCGTAAAAGCGAAACAAAAGATTATGACTATCTTAATCATGGTTTGTAGAGTAGTCAGGACAAATGCACTGCTCAAGAGTATGTGAGGTGGAAACTCTGACTGGCAGTTGTGTGATGCATCCATTTGAAGCAACAATGCAGGTGATTCACTTCGACAATTCGCACATGCTGAGGGAATACTCACCACACGATGATGCATTTACTCCTAATGTTTCCTCACTTCCAACACTTTAAGTTTAAAATTGAAATAGTTTACTAAGTTACCGATAAGTGATTTCAAAAGAGGCAAAATTTAGATTATAACATACTGTCAGAATAGTAGTGTATTAGCTGTAATACTTGGGACAGCATGACCTCTGGGCCATGTCAATCCTACCCCCCCCTCTCCCCCCAGTCCTTCTGTACGTCACCAATGCATATTCTGCCCTAATATAATGTCTTACTTCATCTCTAGGGCGGTCTCAGGAATCTACAGGACATTAATATAATTTCTAATTAGTTTCTTAAACAATTTCAATACCCTAAGTTGTAGCAAGTTTTTGGTGTCAAGTGATGATAAGCATTGTTCAGCCAAAATTGCGATGATTAATTACTGCAGCATGCTTTTAACAAAGTAAGTTATCCAAAGGGGCGTGACTATTCCTTCTAGTATATGCACTTATCAGGTTTTCTGTATCTTAGCTATTAACGGAAAAGTTACATATTTACAAATTTTGATACTTGCAGTAATGGGAGAACTTAATAACAAGAGGATTAGACCAACTTTACTTCGGGAGCTTTCAGAATAAGGACTGCTGCTTAGTTAATGTATTCGACTTCCGAAATTAAAACCGCAAAATTAAGAAATCCTTCGCACGATTACTTGTCTGAACATGCTGACAGGGATCACAAATTATCATCAGCAGTACAAAACCTTCAATTTGTTGACTCATTAAAATGTATTCCCACATCAACCAGTCGACGCACTGTGAATGCTAATTTATGTTCATTTAAGGAATTCTTTTTAACACAGTAACGTTTGTAAGTACTGATGGAAAATAATTCTATTTATGTATCAAGTAAAAATACAGCTGTAGTAAGCTTATTCAACGGAGCAAATGAGAACATATTCTTATCATACGTCAATGGATCCTATAAATGCGCAAGCGTAAGAAATACGTCAATTTACTGCAGGTAAATAAAGGCCTTTAAGAGTTTCTGGTCATAAGTCATCGAAAGCTCTTCAAAAAATTTATAGAAATGGAAGGTGT